AAACTATGTTCGAAACAGCAGGTCTCCGATCATTAGGCACTTAATATCCAATAACGGCAGATTTAGCGCACTGATGTTTAAAATAAGAGCGATATAAATTAAATTTGAAGTTCCTCGTGAGGAGCTCAGCAACTCTACGACTTTACATGGCGCCGCTACTTTCTTGTTAATTAAACATTAGTTTATGTGAATTATTTAAAACATGAAGGATGATTCAAATACCACCAATAATACCAAAATACCCACACATCCTCTTTAGTTATGCACGCTCCCTCCTTGCAGTGTTGCCAATTTTGTGACTTTGACGCTAGATTTAGCGACTTTTCAGACCCCTTTAGCGACTTTTTTTTTTTAAAAAGTGCCTAGTGACAAATCTTGCGACTTCTTGAACAAACCTTATTTAGTTTCTGAGACTCGTCGGTACAGCCTGCACAAGCGAGAGGTCTTGCTTTGCCAGCGCGCACACACCTCTCTCTGTGTCTGCTCTGTTCAGTGAGTGACTGAGAGGAGCAGAGATTTCAATTAAATAATATATTGTAGTGTTTTAAGTCCTGGTAAGCATGAAGAATCAAAGATTACAGAAGTTACATCTCAAAGGTTTATTAGCCAATAATTTTTGAGCGAGATGCTAACGGTCTAATCAGATTCAATGATCTATGCTAAGCTAAGCTAAAAGTGCTACCGCCAGACCCAGAGATCGGCTGGATGGATTCGAAAATGGTAAAGCTCAACTGTTTAACTCTAGGGGAGTTGGAAAATGAGCCTATTTTCAAAAATAATGGCGTGTTCCATTAAGCATTGCATTAAGATGATCCTTATTTGGATAAACACCTTGTGCAGACATTTCGAAGTATTCAATTGAAGTCAATTGAAATTGAAGGCCAAATGGTACATGTTTGGTTCTCGTAGATCTACTGTATGCACATGCGAATGCCTCCTGATTTTTTTCTGCACTACTACAATTGGTGAAAACTAAGTTGATGCATTGACTTTCTCAATGACACCCAGGTCAAGAAGACATTGAAGTTCTTCACAAACAGCATTCTTAACAGACAAAGGTAAGTGTCTGAGTTTTTGTCGTACAGGTGCAACATTAGGAGAGATCTTTACCTTATGCAGGAAACCTTTTTCACATCCCAGTTTAGCCACAGGCATTGAAGCAGAAAGGCCCATCACAAGTGCTGAAGTTTGAGTTTTTTCTGTCAGAATAGTAGAGCTCCACTCCGCGTTCTCTCTGTCCGCGGCATTCTCCCTTGTGGTGGGCTCTGTTGTCGGCTCTTGCACGTTGACTGACGTCACTTGCAGCTCTGGCTCCGCAGCACTGTCGCTCCATGCGGCGAAATTCGCTCGAGGGCCTTCCTCAGACGACGGCGTTCTGTATGCCGGGTTTAGACTGGCGTCATAGAACGCACAACAGAGCACGTCGTCCGGGTAGCTGGAGAGGTTGGCGAGGACCAGGAACAGTCTGGTGTGGCCCTCGAGTGATTTTTTCCCCCTGCTCCAGCAGGAGGAGGAGGTATTCAGGGCGGGCGAGGGGATCCATGGGCACAACAGAAACAAAAAACACTGGGTAAAAACGGAAACAAAAATGGAGGGAACACACGGAGGTAACTGTTTCGGTCTGGTATTCTGTCACGCTGCGCTACTGTGAGGAGCACGGAGCAAGGAACGAGACGACGTGGAGTAGGCTTCAAACAAATAGACTTTAATTATCATTAATAGAAATAGGAACACATACGTAGCGGGGAAAGATAAACATTCAATATGGGAAAACTAGGTCAGGGCAGGCACATGGAGAGGGAAAAACACAGAATGAGTCCAGGGGCGTGACAGTCATGTGACAACACTGTAGCATAGCCTACTACTCTGAAACATTATTTGTTGCTTACTGTATACCGTTTCACACACTGTTCTTAAAAAATAGTAGGCAGTATGCACTGTGTTTACTGGGCAGTAAGCAAGCTAGTGTGCCATTCTGAACGCTGCCAGTTTCTGTCGCTTCTAACTCTATTTTACACGCAAATATAGCCAAAATCACAGCACAGCCATTGTCTTTATGTGTATTTGATTTAATTAGAAGACGTTGTGATTATGAATCAGGATTTTTGTGCAGATTAACATCTAAGGGAGAGCTGGTTATGTAGTCTTAATGAGCCGTGTTTCAGTCATTATTTTGAGGGGCAGACTTTACCAATAAGCAAGGTAAGTGGCCGCTTAGGGCCCCGGGGAATCAGGGGGCCCCATTTGATATTGGCCAAAACTTATTTGGCAAATGCTCCAGTGTGTATTTGTATTTTGGAGAGTGTCAAATGTTCACTCACCGCTCAAAACGTCGAGTTTTTTTCAAGTGCTGAGTTCTGCAAGCTCGCGAATCCTCTCATTATAACAACGTGTAGATACGATGTAATAAGAGATTGATTGTGCAGTGCAGACAGATTCATTGATTAACGGGATGTTGTGAGATCGCGATGAACTGAAGTGAATGACAGCTTTTAGTGATTATAGAGGGAGTGATCTTTACGCACTTTCTAGGCTGTATAATCCTGACTGTCTCAAAATGGATATATTAACCTTAGAGAAGAAAGAATCGTGTTTTGTGTGATGATTTTATTTGTCTTGATGTTTCAAAATAACTCACTTTTGTGCTATTCCTATAGGCGCACCAGCGCGAACTGATGCACTCTCATACAAATGCACGAATGAAGAAGGTTACAATTCATTAAATGGACAAGTGCAAGCTTTTTTAATTTTTTTATTTTAATGTCTTCTTTTGTGATCCAAAGAAAAAATAAGGTAGCCTTATATGGCTTTAGAACAGCATCAGGTTGACTAGTTATTTACTTAAGTTGTGAAGGGGTCAATAAACTATGAGAGATAGAGTGTAATGTGGGGTTTGGGTTTTGTTTTTGTTTCATGTTCATGTCTTTTATTATTTAGTTTAGTCATGGTCCCTGTTTGTGTCATGCTTCCCTTGCCCTCATGTATTCATGCCATTGATTCCCCTGTTCATTGTGTCATGTTCTGATTGGTTGTCTTAGTCATGTGTCTTGTTTCCCATTGATTTGTTCTTGTCTTGTGACCCTCTTGTTTTGTAACCCGCTGTTGGTGAGTCTAGTCTGTTTATGCCTCGTCAAGTCTTTTCATGCCTCGTCAAGTCTGTTCTAGTCAAGTCTGTTCATGCCTCGTCAAGTCTGTGTATCTAGTCTTCGTCTGTTTGGATTATGTTTGGATGTTTGGATCACCTGTAAATAAACTGCACTTGGGTTCTTCACTACACTCGCCTTCAGTGGACTGAATTTGCTACAGAATACACAACCACCACCATGAACCCAGCAGTTTCACGCCTCCTCTGCCTTCGTCAAGGTAATCGCTCTATTGAGGATTATGTTCAGGACTTTTGTGGACTCTGCAACCATGTGGATTGTAATGATGTGGCCTTTAAGGACATCTTTCGGGTGTTGTATTGATGTTGTAACCCGCTGTTGGTGAGTCTAGTCTGTTTATGCCTCGTCAAGTCTGTTCATGCCTCGTCAAGTCTGTGTATCTAGTCTTCGTCTGTTTGGATTATGTTTGGATGTTTGGATCACCTGTAAATAAACTGCACTTGGGTTCTTCACTACACTCGCCTTCAGTGGACTGAATTCGTTACAGAGAGCGAGCAAAATTAAAAGAGTTGTGTTTGGGCCCCATACCTGAAATTTGCATAGGGCCTCCAAGTCCGCCCGGCTATTTCATATTCATCTCTTTGTCTGACAACAGAAACAGAAAAATAAAATCAGGAAAACAGTTTTATTGAGAATTTGGCTGCATTAAAATACAGTCTGTAAGCAGTAAGCACAGAGAGGCAAACAAATGTGAAAGGCAATATGACGCAATTACGTCATGGATATGCTAATTAGCGCATGGCGTCATTTAGTGGCTTTTCTAGCGGGCTTCCTTTACTTTCAGTTAAAAGAAGTCAGGGTAACCCTTTAGAATAAGGAACACTTATTCACTATTAACTACGACTTTTCCCTCAATAAATTCCTAATTTGCTGCTTATTAATAGTTAGTAAGGTAGTTGTTAAGTTTAGGTATTGGGTAGGATTAGGGATGTAGAATAAGGTCATGTAGTATAAAGCATTAATATGTGCTTAATTAGTATTAATAAATGGCTAATATTCTAGTAATATGCATGCTAATAAGCAACTAGTTAAGAGACCCTAAAATAAAGTGTTACCAAATATTACTTATATCTCATAATTTCTTTTCACCACAGAACAGGAGGGAACCTGTGAATTCAACTGAAATTGTCAGTAAAAAGATCACAGAACTTATAGGATCTACTGGGAAGGATAGAAGTTAGTGAAATCGGTTATTTCCTTCTAACATGATTTAATTATCTTATTATGAGACTTTTCAGTCTTACAATTGATTGTTTTTTTTTATTAGACTATGAAGGATCGGTGTTGAACTAATGCTTATGTTAAGTGGGTTGGTTTGAGTAGGGTGACCATTAAATATTCTTATTTATATAGTTAAGTGAGTGATGCCAAAAGTAAATTAAATGTTTTAATTCACTTTGTCTATCACTATCTTCCCCAAACTAAGATTCACCTGCACCTCCCATTGATGATACAGATCCTGCAGTATATTACCTTCTGTCGAAGGGGAGAGGTACAAAAGCCCAGAAAATAAATGGTATATCACTTAATCATTTACAGTTTTTTTAAACAAATTACAACATGAAAATAGAGCAGACAATTTCAGTTATATTTCTGTGTCAGTGTGTATCAGGCAAATACAGTAGATCAAAGTCCCTGTATGTGCACTCTTGTGTAATGAAGGGGAGGAGTTGTTCTGTCATTCTAGTTTCTAGTTTTCTGTTTCCTACCTCAAATATAAGTCATTCAAATTCAGAAAATGATTTGTAATTTAAACAGCATTCCCAAATTAAATTCTGAATGACATGTAAGTGTTTCTCTTCATTTTTTTATTTTTTTTAAGTGATCAAGTGGAATAGTTTCTCATTGACGCATTAGGTAGGCACACTGCTGCAAGGTGTGGTTAGGTGGAGTATGTTAAAGGAAAGGAGATTACCCTGTGTTTGTGTGTACGTAATAAACTGCGTAAGAGAGAGAGGAAACTAGGAAAACCGGGAGCAAGTCATGAACACAGCAGGGTAAGTACATTAATTCATTAGTAAATTCAAGTTTAATGTTGTGAATAGTTTCTGGTCTGTGGTTTCTATTCATCTGTCACGCAGATTTCAAAACCACAGTCCAGGAAGCAACTTTCAGTTTTGTTTCGGTATGAGAGAAACTTTGAATATTCATTAGATTTCAGTCTCATTATAATGTATGGAGTGTATCTAATATTTTTTATGTGACCTGGATTTTTATTTTTTTTTGCAAACAAAACAGCATGGAAAATTCGGTTTGCTTCATGCAGCTACAATAATGCAGAGAATATGATGTCAGCTTTAAATGAGTACAGTATAGAGATTTAAAAAGAGTGGATAAATGCAACCTTACTGTAAAATGATATAATACTAATACTTTAAAATAATAAATTTATATTTTATATTTAACAATATGTTCAATGTGTAACTATATGTACATTTGTTGTATTATAAATTTTAATGTTAAAATCTGTGCTTTTTACGGTGTCCATAAGTCAATTTTTGTATTTTCCCTTATATTGAAATTATTTAATTTCAACATAAACATTTCCTTTATCGGTAAACTACTGTTTATAGACATGTTCATGTTTCATTTCTCATATCATGCTCATCTTTGTAACATATTTTGATTCATCATTACATAAACGGAAAGCAAGTTCACCTGATCATGTTTAAAAGTCCAAAGTATGATGTGTATAATGTATAATCAATGTTGCGTGTTTTTCAGAGAACCACAGGACATGGAAGGAGAGTTGGACATAGACACAACGTCTGACTCAGAATCTGAATCAGAATGGGATCCTGAAAGCAGCACAGGATCTGACAGTCTGAGTGAGAACAACAGTGCAAAGGAAGTAAAACAAGGGAAAAAAAGGAAAATGAAAAAACGTAACTGTAAACAGACAGAGCCGTCTTCCCTCTGTACAACCAAGAAGAGACAAGCCGAAGGTACCAAAGTTCCCAAGTGAGCTTTCCAAAGTACAGTATATTTCAGTAATGACATTACAGAATTAGATGAATTCTGAAGATGAAGTTTCATTAACACTGCTCTGTTTGTAATGTGTTTGATTTGAAGCTCAGTTTAAATTTAAATGACAAAACAATATATATATTGTTCAGATAAAAGAATGGTTTAATGGAACTGGTAAATTTGTTTAATAGAGCAAATCTGTGTGATATTTGTGATATTTGTTTCAGACTCCAGCCTGTATTTCAGACAAAAATTTGGAATCAAATCTGAACTTCCTGTCACATGTGGAGATAAAGACGGCGTCCTGCATGTGGTGAAATATAATGACAGTAGGTGCAGACAATTAAGGATTGCAGTTAAGTTTAACATACATGTGAAGAGTCACTTGTCGAAGAATGTCTTGAAAACATTTCTGGAGCATCTAGACATGTTCAAAACGCTTACTCTGTTGTATTGCTTGAATAAATATGTATCTGTTTTCAGTGGAGAAGTGCATCTTCAGTGAAGGCCAGTGGTTCAAGCCCAACGAATTTGAGAGGTTTGGAGGAAAGGAGAGAAACAAAAAATGGAAGACCAGCATCTTTTATGATAATATTCCACTCCAGAAACACATAGAGGTGCATAAAATGGTTCAAATAATCCACAATCAAGTGCAATTATATCTAGCATTCAATTATTGCAAAAATTAATAATGTTGGTATTTAACAGAATATGATTTTATGATTCAATTATTTGTAAATCTGTGTTAAAAGTGGGGTAAGTGATTTCTGGTTGCCAATGTTAATATTTCAAACCACCAAAACAAACATGCCCCTACCCCAAAAGGGTCTCGCCCCTATTTAGCTCCACCCGTACGCAACCCAGGCAACGATTAGTCCTGTGAAACAAAGCAAAACCAATGTTACACCGTTTACACCGTGGTGAGCGGTGCGGCGCAACAAATCCCCGACAGAAAACTGCTGCCGGGTTCTATTTATGACGTGCTGACACAAATTTCAAATGGTTTTCAACGGTCGTTTGATCACGTCCAGTGTAGGCAGACTTTAGCTGTTGTAGACACGGTGTTACTCACCTATTGAGAAGAAACAAAGCAACCTCGGCGTCCGATCGCAGGCCTCTGCTCCTTGAGTTCTCTCCAGCGCTGGAAAGCTGATCCGATATTTACACGGGTCCTACTTCTTGCCTTATCGTTCC